GCGGAAGTTAAAAAAAACAAGGAATCTTAGTGTGGCCCATCCCAGCGTCCTTGTTCCTAGTACTCGTAGCGATGCCAGGAGCCCCTAGTAGCATCTTTGCTCCTAGTAGTAAGGCCAGGAGCCCCTAATAGCGTCCTTGCTCCTAGTAGTAGTAATCAAAGATATACTAGTGGCTTCTTGTTACTAGTCGCTTCAAAGACCGTTCCTCGTCGCGTCCGAGCGCTCCGCAGCGACGCGCTGGATGGATCTGAATCCCCTGAGGTGGGACATCCTAATGGAAAGTCGCCACCGTTCGTCCACCTTTTCCCAGATGTCCACTCCTTTCCACTGGAAGAGTTGGCCACCCCCAGTTGCATGGAGCCGATGGCGGTGCTCGGGACGTGTCTTTATTACGTGTGTTTGGTACATTTGGACGGCCTATCGATTGCAAAACAGGGCACGCGTAGCGCCACATTCAGGATGTTCACTGGGTGACTTGGGGCCGGAAGCGAGTGGGGCGAGTCTGAGTGGGGCTCCATGTTCGGCGCTTCCGGGAGTCGAACGGAGTGGTCTCCTTAAGGCGCATGAGTTTGATTGATTTGGTTCATGTCATCGAAGACGAACCGAACATGCTCCAAAATAGCGGCCGAATGGAATTGATGATTGAATGGATTTGATACGTTTTTTGTTGTTTTTCCTTGTGCCACAAGACAGACACATTTTGACAGCCACATTCCCGTTGACATCTCACAGAGATGCATGAACCACCGGGGAACTGCACTTCTGTCGTCCCAAGGGTGGGCAACTCCTACCTGCCAACTTCACGCTGGTCGAGCGGCGTCTCGGTCGCACACACACTGAGGAACGTTCCCGGTCCCAGCTCCAACATGTCAAATGGATCAAGGAGTACGGTACCAAGAAGGTTCAAGTTCCATGTTTTTTCGGAAGATCTGTCTATAGATGTTTGTTATATCACAAGTTACGAAACAGATGGCAAGCCGGTGGAACGGCTAAGTGCGTCCGGTGCCAAGATGAAGCCCACAAGGGGACTGGACGGTCTGAAAAGCCCCAAGCATCAGTGTCCAACGAGAGGCGGATGCAAGATTGTGTTTTGTGAAAAGAGGGTAGTTGCTGTATGTGGCTGTTGAGATTCCAGTGCAAATTTCAGAAAACCGCTCCAAGTTATGCTTAATTCATGCAGGGGTGATCCCCAATTCATGGATCCTGGTTTGAGCAATTGTCCAAAGGACCTTTTCTGCAAGGAGAGGGTGAAGCACGGTGAAGCTGCAAGTTGAAACTCCAAAAGATGCACCCGAAGCTCAGCTCCACCCAGCCAGGAAGTACCTCCTCATCCAATTCACCAAGCTGGTGGATGTCTACGATGCAAACCAAACTCATGTGGGCCCTTCGTCAGTCACAGGGAGGGGCAGGGAAGGGAAAACTCCCAAGGACACGCAAACACCCCGTGGTCCCCTGGTGTCGCTCCCCTTCCTTTCCTTTCTCGTGTGACGAGAAATCCGAGAAAGCTTTTAAGATTTACCCCCCATCCAGTGAGAGACCTCTTTCTTGGGTAAATTGGGATGAGAACTGCATATTTTTGTTTGGTCAGTCGGGGATTTCAGGGGGTGAGTTGATGGTGTTGATGGCATTAAGTCGACTCCTGACCTTGTCTCCTCATGCAGCCTGTTGATGTTGATGAAGCTCCAGCAACAGTATACATGAGTCGAGTGAAGTTCTGTTCTTCCAGAATGATTGCTTTTCGAACCGCGCGTGCTTTTTTTCTTGCATAGCAAAATGCATCATGAGAATCCATATATTATGGAGGCATGGCTTCCACACTTTGAGAGGGGTTGAGATGAGGACCTGAAGAGGCTCCATGATGCTGACACCTAGGGTGAACCTGTAAACCACCATGGCTTCAGGCCAAGCTTAGACCACCTCCGAGGTGGTCTCGACTCAGAAAATTCCAGTTAGGAGATGTCAGACTGACACCTAGATTGACACAGGTTGGAGGGGCATGTTGCTTTGGGCTTTGGACACTGTCATCCAAAAGCTCTTAGAGTTCGCTTCACGGACCGAACGTCAAAGAAGTCAAGGGAGATGTGTTCAGAACATCGCTTCAAAGACAGGGCGCGGAGCGAGCACGGAGCAAAGTTTTTTGTTTTTTTTGAGATCACGAGCTGACTTGCATTGGTGTATGGTTTAGGTTCATACGGAAATGCAACAATGAAATTATATAAAATGCATATTCTGTACTCTTTGCCTCTCCGGTGGGGATTGGATGCTGGTGGAACATGACTGCGGCGCTGTATATCTCGCACAGGGGACGAGATCGGAACTGGGACTCTGACCGGGACAAATCCTGTTCTGGGTCCGGCCACTGTTGGATAGAACGTTAAATGCACCAGTCACCAGCGGTTTTGCTTGGAGATTTGCTAGCCTCACAGTGTGGAGACCTAATTACTACAAAAATATCAGTACTACAACTACTGGCAGTACTGATTCAAAAAGTCCAGAACTGAAGTGTGTCTATAGTGTCCTTGGTACAGTTCCAGACCCTCAGGACTGTCAACCGAATTAGGTGACATGAAACCTCTGTCATCACCACCGGGTGATAGGAAGAAGTGGCAAATTATTGGTTGTTCAGCTGCTGAAACTTGCACCTCGATGTTGCCTCAGGTTATTTCTACGACATCAACCTCTTTGTGATCATGCGCTTTGGCTTCTCTGATGCTCATGGCCGCATTTGGTTCGAAGCCCGCTATGCCTCCTTCCTGTCGCGCTTCAAGCCCATCATTGATTCTCCACCTGCACTAACGTCGCTCGGGGCGGCCTGCCGCGCGGTGGGAATTGGGACGAAGGGACTGAGGACACCATGGAATCTCTTAGATGTTGTTTGCTACAAGACCGACTATGAGACGGGATGTCAAGCGTTACCACGGACGAAAATGCCTAAGACATTTACTGGTGGTTTGATGCACTTTGTTCCCTTTTTGTGACATGCGCTTGCCTACATCGGTTGGCAAGACTGCTGGTGTTCATGCCTCTTGAAATCCCTGGCAACTGATGAATCTGAAAAGGAACCAGGAATGGACGTCTCGTTCGTTCCGGTGCATGGTGCCGTTCTTGAGTCTTCAAGACTCAAGAAAGAAGGTCTTTCTGTGTGACCCAGGCGTACGTCATTTGACCAGGCATGTGTCGAATCTTATCGAAGCCTGGCATGGCACTGAGGAAAGTTACATTTTTTAGGGGGAAGGTAATTGTTAGAGTCTGCTACCAAAACAATCCCAATTTCAAACACTACTGAGGAAAGTTATTGTTTCGGGGGAAGGTAATTAGTGGTTTGAGTATACCCGATTTAGTTCCTGATTTCAAATCTTAAGGTTCGCTTTGGGTCATTCATTTGGGCGAGGTCCCGCGACCTCCCTTGAAAGGGCGAGTCGACACGATCTCACAGACACGGTGAGTTGTCTTCAGCTCAGCCACGAAGCGTTCAACTCTCTTTGTTTCGGGTCCTTGTTCCAGCGAGGCCTACTCTCGTTGAATTTGGTGGATCATCTGGGTCGCGCCACTCACAGGATTTCAGGGGTTTTGGCGAAAACCAAGTGATGTAGCAAGCTGAAACCCAACTTCCCAGTCCCCTTCCAATCAAACAAGGATAAAGCTGGAAGGGCGACCGACCTTCTGACAGGTACAACTCGCAAGGAATGAGGGTGGCTGGATCCTAACATATCTAGATCGGGGGTAATTCCACCAGTCAGCCCCAATTCTCTAAGGATCCATTCCTAAGGTGCAAATTCTGTACCACTACGCAGTGTTCTTTTTTCGTGCCGATCTCCACCACCAACCACCGCCGTTCCGTTCGTCCAGGAATACAACGTGCAGCGCTGCGACGCGGGGGCGGCCGGGCGGCCGTCGAGCTTCTACGAGCTGAAGGAGAAGCATGGCGGGTACGGTATAGGCGTGGTCACTGGTGGGACACACGGTGAGAGCGCGGCACGTGGCGTGCGAACCCCACTTTGCCGTGTCAACCTACGTGAAGAAGTGGACGACCTGACTGGAAGAGATGATCACCTACAGCAGTGTAGTTGACCATGGTTAACCTTAGGACTGTTTCTCTAAAAACTTCTTGGCAAGCATGGGGAAAGTCCATAGCAAACGGTGTTCACACGGACACTTTAGGGCGTCCGAGCTATAGACAAGATGGATGTCATGAAGCAAATTCTGATCATTATGACATCTCCGACATCATGAGGTGAAGAACCAATGATGTTTCATGACTGTTCAATGGATCGATTCGATCGTTTTGTTTTCTCGTTCGGCATTCTTGCCTTGCCTTGCTGATCTCCAACTCAATTGCGCGTTCTGTTCGCTCCTCATCTTCATCCTCATCCATCAACTATAGTATTGTTTTTGCTACTCCTCATCAACCCCAGACACTGCATGGGACTATTGGACCCCCAAAATCCATCAACCACCCCTGGATGTCCGTCTCGCCACGAACGGCGATGCGATTGTCCGTCCTACCCACGGCCACGGCCCCGAGCCCATCGATCGATGCGCGAACACCTCCCTGGGGTTTTGCGGATGGTAGACCATGGCCCCGAAAGGAAGAGTGTTTTCCTCTAGGAACAGGCCATGTTCCACTTCCATGATTGTTGGAGGGAGGGTATGTGTTTTTTTTCAAGCAAATCCATGTGTGTGGGGAAGAAGCACGAGGGCCAAAAGCGACAGTGGAGGATCCCCCATAAGCGCCATGGCCATAGATAGATCACCATGAGGAGTCGTTCAAGAGCTTGGTAACAAAGATGGGGGAAAGAGGTTCAAGAGCTGGGCCAATCAGTTTGATCATGTTTTTGGAATCGATAGGGCAGTTCTTTTGTATATATCGGTCGCTTGAATATGTTGAAGTACTGCATGGCATGACGGCATGGCCTGATCCCTCCAACATCTCCAACAACCATCCCAATATTTACCCAATAATACCATGACAAGGTTCCTAAACCATTTATTCCCAGCTCTACATGACAAGGTCCCTAAACCAATTTGATGGGAAAGGGCAACAACATTCCCAGCACCTCTTCGCTGAGGCTCTGGTGGGCGGAATCCTATTGGCATTGTTTGGTGAACTGCCACTGGGCATGTGAACGGGTGTGCTCGCTTGTGTGCTCGTGTTGGTGCTCCAGTTCTGGTGGACCTGGTCATCGCAATTGTAGGTAGATGCGATTTGCCCAGGTGTTGGGGTGGGGTAGATGCAAAGCTCTCCAACATTGTCCCTACAGGTCAAGGTCAAGGGCCTCATGATATTTGGTGTTGCGCTTGGAGTTGCTGACACATTAAAACCATTCAAACAGAACACTCCTCAAACTCTTTCCGAACTGGTAACTGGCAAGACGAATCTTTGCAAGGTGGTGGGTTGTAGGGTGGCGACTCCTTTTTGTTGGATTGTGCATCTACACCGTCGCGTCCCTCCAAGGCTCCAGGCAATTTAATTTGGCACATCACACGGCCACAGCCGAGGTGGGGTGGGCCGATGGCGTTTAGGAGTGATGCTGTGAGAACCTGTCATATCCAGTGGGTGGTCCCTCCTGAGGTCCCTTTCGTTTTTGTCCGAAAGACATTTGCGGTTGTTGTACAAGTATGTAACCAGTATGTACAAGTCATGTCCTCATCATCAAGTCAGTTGGCAGAATTCCTCAGACCCCTCAAAGGTTTCTCTCGTGAGCTGATCCAGTCTTTGGCAGGTGCGGGAACATTTGCTGCCAAGCTGGAACTTCGGCACTCATCCGGAGTTCAAGGCCGGTGGGGTGACCGGGTGACGCCCCAAACACGCCGCGTGTCTAAGTGCACTTGGCACGACATGGAGGTGAGGTCCGCACAAGAACAATGGACACCGTCTTCCGCCGACGTTTTGATGCAACATTTGGATGCCCAGAAAGATCGCTTTGGTGATTTCATTCGGATCATCCAACTGCAGAGGTTCACATGGATGTTGAATGTACGAACTGCAAGGGTTCAAGGATATTCAACGTTTGAACGCTGGGTGGAGGGAGCATTCTGGACAGAGATTGGACTCCTCTCAGCCCTCTTTGCCTCCGACAAGTCCAGAAGAGATCACAAGAATGCTCTCAGTGCCTGTTGATGGGTAGCTGCATGTGGATTGTGGCTAATTGTGGCCTACACTTCGATGGGAAGATGATGACGTGGTATATCATTGATCTTGTGCTGAGGGCATCATACACACAAAGTGGTATACCAGCTGCTATATTAATAAGCAAGTTGCTCGAAGTGATCTTAATATAGCAGCTTGCTCTTAGCAAGCCTATCTTGGCATGGAACAGCTTCTAGCGAGGCGCTCCGATGCTGATAGGTCCTTTGGCCGGGCATTTGTAGCTGTTCTGCGCCTGACTTTGTGGAACCAAAGCAATGGATCACAGTGGTGGATGCCTCACCAGCGCAGTGGTGGATGCCTAAACTGCTTCAGAGAATTGTGCAAAGGCAAGTGATGCGATCAAAAGGCGGCCGAAAGTGAGACCTTCAGGGCCGAGTTCGAATCGGTTCCGGGCTCAGCAGAAATCCATCCAAGCTCGGTGGAAGCAAGCTTTTGCAAAAGCTCATGAGGAGCCTGCATCAATGCAGCTTCAGAGCGGCGGAAGTGTCAACCTTGGTTTGAAGGGGAGGTGCTTGCACTGGGACAACTGCACACAACCGCATTTGTGTAGGAAAAAGGCCAAGGTGAGTCCACAACACAATTGGCTTGGCCTGATCGCCTACCTACCTGGTAACGTGAAGTAGCCTTCTTCCAGCCAAAGTGACCCACAGACACAGACAGAGATGATTGTGCCTAGGATTCCAACCACCATTGATTGCATTGCTTTTACTGAGCGACCACTGTTTTATATTGTTTTACCCAGCAACTCTTCCTAAATATGGATTTGTTCTAATAAGGCCGCCTTAAAGCTTTAGGACCATTTCACATGTTTGATTGTAATGAGCTTTAAACAAGATCTTAACAGGATCCTGGTAGTGAGTGGTGACTATCACTGCTTGCCGGAGGGTGAGGGGGGCCTGGTCCAGGGCGGGGCCTGGTTTTCATCGCGTGGTTCAACGCTTTTGGGTATGTTGACAAGGTCCACTTCTCATGTAGAATAGTGCAAAGTAAGTCCAAACTTGTATATCGTGTATATTTGTTTATGTTGTTTAGCCAGGCGGCCGGGGGTTAACCTGCTCTGTTTGTGTTTCGTTGGGGCTCTCCGCGGTGCATTCACACATATTAATTGGTGACCACTGTTTGCTACAACCAATTCCATCATAGATGTATTGGAACTTGCGTTCTACGCCTGCCACGACACCACTTCACACTTCACATGGAGGCCTTCATCCACCAAAGCCAGGTGGCGAACACTCAAAATGTTTATTAAGGCTTTGATCTCAATTCTAGAGACCACGCTGTTTCAACAAAAGCACTCCCAACGGTGTTGATTGAATTGCCGCAAAGAAGCGTTTCTCCATCTCCAGGTCCATCTCTCAACCGTCCCTTTCCTCCCCTAAACCTCCAAGTACCGAAGGTCTGACTAGACCCTCCTGGCACCCGGGCCCCCAGTCCCACCGAACCGAAACGGTTCGGTACGACTGGAGCCCGGCGCTCCAAACCACCGGAACAGTGGACGAGACGAGTCTCGGATGTCCAGCACAGCGTCCGTCCGGTCCACAAAACGCGGCAGGTCTCCTTCGATGGTTGGCTGGTGCCCACGGTCCGTGGTCAGATCACCGGCACGGTGAGCAGCCTGGGCACCGGCGTGCGGCCTGATTGGTCCATGCACATCACCGATGCGAAGGGGTCAACGGTGGGCCATGCACATCAGTAGCGAAGCGGAAGGATGTGGCGGGTGAAATGGTGGGTGAAGTACCGCAGGATTTATTTGGGAAACCTGGGACAAATGTGAGGAACCTGGGACATTTGAGATGGAATCCTGGCACATCTGACGTTTGAGATGGAATCCTGTGAGATTTCTTCCTGAAGATTCTTCACCATTTGCTTGGTGAAGTCAGGAGCATTCAAGTGGGAAGTCAGGGATTACAGGAGCCCTTCCAGGTGCCCGAATTACCACACGCACAGGATCCGTCTTGATGGAGAAGTACTAAATGGGGTGGCTGTTTGTTCTGCAGAATCATTCAGTGTCCACCTCTTTCGTCACCTCGCCACCGTGGGAATGAGCGATGCAAGACGATGAGTGCAATAGGTGAAGGAGTGACAGGTATGACAAAGGTCAGGGTCAACAGACCTCGCCACAGGTTGAGCGTCCGACGTTTTTCGAAAGCTGCGGGAGTTTTCTTCCTTCGCTGAGGCATTTTGTGGTCGGCCCTCCAGACCAGGACATGCGAGCCGCTGGGGCTATGAAAGGATATGAAAACAACGGGGGTGACGGTGACTTCTGGGCATCCCGAAGTTTCCTAAGACGGCATCGTTTCAGACGTTTTGAGACTTCAGATCGTCTAAAAGTCAAAGACTGAAAAACCACTGCAACTTATGTAGGCCCTGGCCTCCAGGGAAATGTTTGGGCTCCGTTTGGGAATCCCCGCGGACTTTTTTCTGGACTGGTTGCTGGATGGATGAATCATGATTTATCCTTAAGAGTATGAATACTCTGAAGAGTGCTTTCCTCCAAAATCGCGCTCCAAAATCGCTCCAAATCCGTGCAGTCGCGCACCCAGGTGCTGTCGCGCTGGAAGGTGGTGACGGTGTTGGAAGGCCACGCAGACCCTCCGAAGAACAGCAGACCCTCCGAAGAACGGACGAACGGCGGTCAATGGCGTTGTGGTGAGAATGTTTGGAAACGCCCGCTGGGTGCTTTCAGTTTGGATTCAAGAACCTTTTGCCATTTCAAGCTTCTCATTCTGGGGATTGGATGTTATGACTAGTTTTGATGGTCCAGCTGATTCTTGGGGTTCAGTGCAGGGGGTGTTTTTTCCCAAAACAATGGCCTTTTCCCAAAACAACGGAGGACAAAACAAATCATTTGCTCTCATGGCGGGCAGCCTCCAAGTTCCTCGTCAAACAGTGTGGTAGCATCACTACAGGGGTTCTTACGGTAGTAGTACAGTAGTAGTAGTAGTAGTAGTAGTAGGAGTAGGGTAGGAGTAGGAGTAGGAGTAGGAGTAGGAGTAGGAGTAGGAGTAGTAGTAGTAGTAGTAGTAGTAGATGTAGTAGTAGATGTAGTAGTAGATGTTGTAGTAGATGTAGTAGTAGATGTAGTAGTAGTAGATGTAGTAGTAGTAGTAGTAGTAGGAGTAGTAGTAGGAGTAGTAGTAGGAGTAGTAGTAGTAGGAGTAGGAGTAGGAGTAGTAGTAGTAGTAGTAGTAGTACTGTTAGAAGTAGTAGATGTAGTTGTAGTATATGTAGTGGTAGTAGATGTAGTAGTAGTAGATGTAGGAGTAGGAGTAGGAGTAGGAGTAGGAGTAGTAGTAGTAGGAGTAGGAGTAGGAGTAGGAGTAGTAGTAGTAGTAGTAGTACTGGTAGTAGTAGTAGATGTAGTTGTAGTAGATGTAGTAGTAGTAGATGTAGTAGTAGTAGATGTAGGAGTAGGAGTAGGAGTAGGAGTTGTAGTAGTAGTAGTAGTAGGAGTAGTAGTAGTAGTAGTTAAGGACGGGTGTTTGATCGGAGGTGCTCGCATCCAGCAGCGGCTGAGTCGCTGCCATTTGCAGTACATCATTTCGACTGCGCAGGCTCACAGAATCTGCTGGGCGCGAACGGGTGTTCTTTCATCGGGGTTACTTCAAGCCAGGCCGGCTGCCACATTGGATGGTGGGTTTCTTGGCTGTTCTGGATGACGCTTGGCAAAAGGGCACTCCGCGAGAACGGCCAGAGCCAGGGCATCCCAGACATTCCAGGCATATTTAAACATATCAGGTCATATCAGAATCTTCATAATGCACGGTGGCTGAAAAGGGTTCAACGTAGGCATTTGTACCATGCATGAAGTGCCTGGGCATGGGCTTGGCGAAGGTTTTTTGGGGGGGGTATTTTGTCAATCACCAAACTAAATGAGCGTGAAAATCAAAACCTCCGCGTTGTGTTATTATCCTTTTGGTGTTTCTTGGCTGCAGCTGTCAGTCAAAATCTGTTTGCTATGCCTGGCACTATGCCAGCTATGCTGGTTTGGAGGGTCTTGGGGTATTCGCTGTCATCCTTTCTTGGTGCTTTTCACAAATACTCTCAGACCTTCAAGACATGGGACGCCTCTTAACAGGCGACTGGAGTTGTTCTTCGCTCTTCACGACAACGCCACTTCCTGCTCATGACAAGTCAGGGTCACGGCGAAGGAAGTTGACCCCCTTGACCCCCTTTTGGAAGACGTTCGCCGGATTTCGACCTCGAACATTCCAAAAGTCCATCGCGAACCCTGGCAGTGCTGGAGAGAGCTTAGCAGCGGCCAAGGAGACAAAAATCGGAACAAACTCCATGCTAAGCCGCAGGCAGAGCTTTGCAAATCCCAGTCGGTGAGGAATTGTAGGAAGAGTATCAAAATTTGCTGCTAGCTGGGGTCCGGCATCACAGCTTGCCAGTTCGGAGCTGGGATGGATGACATGTTGATTCCATCATGACCCCTATTCATGCTCAGTTTTGGTTCACCCCCCTCACACCGGGCTTTTCTTGAGTAGCTTGCACCTGGGAGAGCACAAATTAACGCCAAATCCAGTTATTTTTCCGGAACAGCCAAGGACATCGAGGAGGACATCTACTAGTCATGCGCGCCATTCTTCGAACGACCAGCTGTGCAAGGGGCATTGAGATGGACTTCCACGAGGTCCACAGCCACCTGGCATGATTCCAGGGGACCACCGCTTTGAGCAGAATGGACCTTCCATGGGTCATACTGGGTCTAGTACTGGGTCTATATTTAATTACCAGCTTCTTCCAAGTGACCTTTTTTCGGAGTCCCTATACGTGGCCTTTTACACGCCTGTTCATGACCTCAAACGAAGATGCAGGTCGTTGACCCTCAGGGCTGACACGTACGGTGGACACAGGTCGAAGCGGATCTTCCGGACGACATCGGACACGACACCGTTACGTGCAGCGGCCGCGTGGTATGCGGATTTTCATCGGTCTTTTTTTTCCAATCTCTTTCCACGAACCATGCCATTCCACGTAGCCCTGATGTTTTCCCAACACCCCGACCGAGGCGAAGGAACCCCCGACCGCCCCGCGGGTCGAGCTCCGCAGTCGAGCGCCCGACCGCGCGGTGTGAGCGGATTCGATGCGTCGTAGCGAGACAGGCGGAGAAAAGAACGGGAGTTGCGGTTGGAGAGAACCTGGGGTGGGGGTGGCATCGCATGTCGACATACCAAGACCAGGATGCAATGTATGGTTCATGTTGCTGTGTTCATGGATGAAGTCATGATTCATCGAATTGTTTGGATGGGTTTGTTCACGTTTGCTCCTGGAAAGCCCGTGTTTGACATTGTTCAGGCTGGGGACGGTTTGGGAAGATTTCTGAGTGGATGAGGTTCTATAAAGATTCTAAAGCTTGACAGTGTATATTTGGTTTAAACTGGAAGGTGTACCTTTTTCCAGCTCGCCTAAAGCCTCCCACTGTGACCCCGGCAGGTTACGGAGCTCAGAGCACAGAAGGGTCCTTTTCTACCGGGCTAGTGTGACCTTGGTCAGCACGATGACGATGACTAGCAGCCTGCGGCACAGGTGAAACATTCGCACCGGCAACTGCGGCCACCTGGTGTTGCTGAATTCAGGTGATGATGGTGATGTTTCTCTTTTTTTCTCCCATCTGCGGTCCCCGCAAACCGGGGACGAAAGCTCTCGGGAAGCCCCGCCAGCTTGGTGGGCGCCCCTGCGCCAGGCCTCAGGCAGTCAGACATTTCCCCCTGTGGCCATTGAGCACATCCCAGACACTCCATGGGACTGCCATATATTCCTACATTGACCCCGGGTCAACCACCCCAATGTAGGCATATATGGCATACATGGAGTGTCTGGGCATACTTCGTTTCTTTGGCCGAATTGGGTCTCGTCGACGTCCGACTTCCGGCAGTTGGGCATCCGTCAGCGGTCCCAGTCTCCGCGCAGGTTCTGGAACCTGAAGCAAGCCAAAGTGGCCGAGATCCAACCTGCCCTTTGGACCGCACTGGATCTGAGAAACATGAGATGATTCTCCACTCATCAACTCGCGCATACATCGAAACAGCAACTGACTGGTGCTTAGTAGGGAATGAGGGAATGAGCCCCCAGTGGACATTTATTTGGATCGATTCCCTCATTCCATACTAAGCACAAGTCAGGCAAGTGAACCGAGGTTCTTTCATGGGCAGGTTCCTCGGGAAAGTTCGGTTCCGGATCAATTCGCAGCTCCTGGGAACTGAGAACATCACCGGAGCTTCCGTTTGGAGGCGTTCACTTGGGACGTGTGCAGCCCAACCACGTTTTTGCGGCGATTTCGCCCGTGGTTTTCAACGGAAGTTCCGACTTCGGGTGGACACTCGAAGGATCTCGAAGGCCAACTCGACTCGTATATGTAACATTGGTTAATAATATACCCAGACACTCCATGTATGCCATATATGCCTACATTGACCCCCCAAACCACCCCAATGTAGGTAAATATGCCATACATGGAGTGTCTGGGTTGGTTAATATTAATATATGTTTTGTTACCTGTGCTGTGTTTCGGGATCATTGGGACGGGCATTTGCACAACACGTTGCTAAATCTGACTTGCAACTCTGCGTCACCACAGATACGCAAGGGACCAATATAGCAGGCCAGACGATCATTTGACACCTACTGATCAAGGGCCCAAGGTCAGATAATATGACTTGCCTGGGCATCCAGACAATGAACTGTGGTGATTTGTAGAGCGTCGTTTTTCAGCCTCAATTATTCAGGTGGTCCACTACTTATAATCCCGTTGACACAAGCACATGCACCTCCTGAGTCCTGTTGTGTGCACAATAAGTCTCTCATTATGATGTTTGGTCAAAAAGGGTAGGGATGTGTCAATAATTTTGACGGACTGTTTTGATTCTTGGATATGCTCCGCTAAGGATCCGACTTGAGAGCTGCCCTGGTGACAAAACTTCAGCAAGCCATGTTAGTATCACAGGTAGCCAGGATGGAGAAACTACCCAAATATTATATCATTCAAGTTGCAGATGGTGAGCAATCAAGTCATGTGAGCATGGACACTAACAGCTGGGTCACTCACATCCATCCGAGCAATTCTGAAATGGGATGGCAACTGGACATCCTGCCGACATTGGCGGGTGCGTGCTACATGTTGTGGTGAACCCCCATGGAATTGGAGATACTGGTAATTGCGGAGAGGTTCAGAACGGTTCAGAATTCCATGCTCGGTCTCACCGTCACATGCTCACTCCATGCATCGATCCAAGGTATGTCAACTCCTGGATCGCTGGCACGAGGCGCAGAGCTGGCCGATGTGTCTCGCTTGGACGTGCCGCTGCGTCGCTGGCTGCGCATTTGGGCAGTCCATGCAGCAACGGATTCACCGTCGACCGGTTCACAGGTGTCACCCATGTTGGATGGTGGAATCCGCTGCGGGAGGGGCGGGAGGTCGTTTTCGGCTGTCCAGGTGTCGCATGGCGTATGGACCGGCGATCCACGGTACGTCCTGAGGTTCGGTACGGACTCGAGGTGACTTGGCACCGTCTCAGGACGTACCGTGGAGACCTCACACTGGATCTGTACCTGAGGTTCGGTACGACTGGATCCGCAGGGACTGGAAGAAGAACTCCTTAACAGGATTCTCAACTCCCAGACACTCCATGGGACTGCCATATTTACCTACATTGACCCCGGGTCAACCACCCCAATGTAGGTAAATAGGCCAGTCCCATGGAGTGTTTGGGTTAACAGGATTCTCAACTGGTAGACGCTGGCTGACGTGTCAACAAACCTGCCACACTTTTGAGGGAGACGATGTTCCTCGCGCTGCGACCGTGAAGAGGGCTTTAATCTATTTCCATCTTTGCTTCTAGCAGGTCTGGACTGCACACAGACGACCTTTTATTCTATTTATTGACTATACAAATCCAAGTTGGTCGTTCCTGTGTCAGACAGTATATTCCTCACTCCAAAAGGCTGGCGGCTGGATGGGAACATTCAGCGAGGGTAGCTCGCTTTGTTGCCTATCAATTCACAGTGGGCCCCGAAGAAGGCGATGGAAAGAGGTGAGGTTGGTATGATCCTCCTAAATGTTAAATGATAGTCAAAGTCATCGGAATCCGAATCCGTAACTTCTCACGTTGACGTTGGTATGATCCTCCTAAATCACAGTCAAAGGGTTTCAGTTCTGATCCGTAACTTCTCACCTTCCTCAGTGTAGAACATCCACAAGTGAAAAAAAAGAACGCGCACGGTGGTCATGTCCAGATCCATGGCGAGCGACCGCCCTACATCATGGCCTTTGCGGCTTGGATGGAGGTCGCCAATCCGGGTCCAACGCCCTGACCGGTGAGGAGCGTCCATCAATGGTTTGGGGACGGATGCCATCCGTCCCCCCTGGTGGGTTCGAAAAGAGGAAACGGAGGGTTCGGGGGCGGGCGTACTCTCCTGACCGACGAACTTCCAAGAAGCCCCTCACTTGCCAGAGATTTGGTCCTTCACTCATGGCATTTTGGGGGGGGGTCTGCAGCTTGCCCCACCAGCACAGCGAGACGAGACGGAAACCGTTGAATAGGGCGCAGTGAAACGCATTCCCCGTGGAAACTGGGAATCTTGGTCACTGAAGGCTGAGTCCTCATTGACTGAAATCTAGGAGGACACGGGTCCAAGCATTTTGCCTTTCAGAAGTGCTCGCACAGCCGAAGAGTTTGTAAAGATAAGATGGTCTCGAGCTAGCAGTGTGAGGCACTGCGCAGCTAGCCTTACATGAAAAAAGGCCCAGGCGCCAGTGTTGTGGGTGGGGCATTCCAATCTCAGAATCATCCAGAATCCATTCCACAAGTCATCAGCATCCCCTTAATCATATACTGCAGGTTGGTGTGCCGGAGTTGAAGATAAGCGGACAAGCCACTGGTGACCAGGATATATTAATATATAGTGTGTAGTATAATGTGTATTTTTCTGCATATACACGGTAGTACGTCACGGTAGTGCTCTTCTTTATGTGTGATTGGCAGTTGTGGATGTCTTTTCTAATGCTTTTGTATTTGGGCCTGGGGGGGCCGCCCTGTTTTGGATGAGATCCAGATGGGACACACCCATCCCCCCCATGTGGGGATCTGCTTGGTTTCTGAGGTGAACACCGGCTCCGGCAACCGGAAGGTCTCACAGGCGGGGACCGGGCGGACATGGGACGAGAGAACCAAGCTGGGCCACAGAACGGCATGAATGACTCTATTGGCACGGGCACGGGCACCGGCAGCAACCGATTGCGGGGGGCCTGATTCAGTTCTTGTCTTGAATTCCTCCACCACACAGCGGAGCATGGGCCAATGGCCAGGCCATCAAGAACCAGCTCTCGGCGATCCTGAATCACCGGCCCGGCGCCCCGAATCCCGGGCCGTGACGGGTTGACGTCCTGAGTGTTCCAATGAGCAGGTCCATGCTATCGCAAAGCTCCGCATACACTAAGCGGTTTGGGAGGGGACCCACCCAGTCTAAGGTGGGGCCGATCGTCGGCAAAGCGTGGATTCTTCTGACCATGGGGAATCACTCCTGGTGAGTCAAACGCAGTGATCTCCCCTGACCAACATCGACCGACCTTCATCTTGAGATCCCCGTCTACATGGGCTATTGTTGGTGGGGAAGGGAACCACTCACCTGGGGAAGGGAATATCGCGCACATGTTTCTTCAACGCAGCATGTGCTTGGTAGTCGGACTTCAGACTTCTGTTTCGTTCAGGGGAAATGCCATGCGGCAGGTCAGGTTTCTTGAATCATTTTAGAGGAGTAGAGCCGCATGATCACCCAGACAATCCATGGCACTGGCATAGTTACCAATCAGTTGGGGTGGTTGAAAAGGGGCCGATGTAACATACAAACACATCACATGGAAGTGGAAAGCTTTTGGTTTCTACTTTTGCCTTCTGCATGGGGCCCGTTCGTTGGCCATGCCATCCACGGGGTTTTGGCCCCCGTTCGTCAAGTCGTTGGTCCCCCATGAGGCCAGTCCCATTGGCCTCGCGAGTCAACGTCGCTCCGCCGGGCGCTTCGCCGTGGTTTGACGACGTGCTTCCAGGTTCACCATCAGTGGCCGGGGGGGAGGCCGCTTGGGAACTAAGCTGGTGGGTTAAAGGGTTGGGAA